AATGTGTGATTTGTGCGTCAAAACTTGAAATATTTATTCGCGCTGAGAATTGAATACTTCGCTTCTTACCATTTTAAGAGCTCGATTCTCTCCAGCTCAATTTAATGGAAGGCAAAATATCTGCTTCAAGAGATCTTTCCTCGAATCGTACGTTAAAGAATATGGTGCCAACATTCAACGCCTTAATGTGTGTAGTGTCGTACATATGTATATCGTACGATACAGTATTATATTACGGAGCTTACGTAATTTTTTATATGGCGGTACTCCGCGTTGCCGCTGAGATTCACTTTTTATCTCTCTTTATCTCTTTTTATCTTTGCTTTATCTGAGCGAGCCAACACGTTGTTTTTACTCTTTTTTTGTAATTGTCTCTTTTTGTTTTTTTTTTTTTTTGTTATTGAGAGAATGCGCCGTGCGCGAATTTTCCTATACTAATATAACGAAACAATTGAAAGCTACGTGTTATATCCAATCGTAAAAAGTTAATTGTTGCAAAGGCTGCTGTTACTTTATACGAACTACGGCAACTATTGTCGACCCGCTATTTTTTTACACAAGGACGAGTCAGTGTGGTTGAGATGCGAAAGAGCGAATAATAAAGGTATTCTAAATAAAAGGATTTTTAGCGCTGACTATATTGAATAGTACGTCATCGAGTGATATATATATATATATATATATATATATTTATACACACACACACACATATACATCTTTATATACTGTTGATTTGCAGCACCATATATACCGCGGTTGAGAAACTTATTAGAGCAGACAAATAAAGTATCGTTAAGCTCTTAATCTATATCTTCGGACGAATTGTGTCTTTCCATAAAACGGAGCACGGCGTTTCGCGTTAACGACAAAGACTGTTTAGACCGTGGAGATGATTCGGGAAGCACGTGAATTGAAATTCGCCGGCGCTCTATTCCTTTTTCGCGCTTCATCGGTTGCGTGTCGCATATCGAACTCTGCTTACGAGTTTTCTAGGGTGCGGCATAGCAACGCAGAGTCGAGCAAAGAATTTCATATTTTGTATCTTATATTTTTTGAAGGACTAGAGCGACTTCTTTTTTTTTATACATAAAACGACAGACCGAGAGTTATACATCGCTTGAAGATTCTGTCATTTTCAATTATGAATTTTCCATGTGTGTATTCGTGTGCTTCTGTTATATGCATTTACAACAACAACAACAACAACAACAACAAAAATATATATATGTAGCTATGTTTATGCTCGCGGATTTCGAGGTTCTCGGATTTATGGGCGAATTAGTTTCTTCCTCGCGATCATTTGCAAACAATCTGAGTGTACATATGCTACATGAAAAAAAAAGATATCAAACATGTTGCATGGTGTCAATCACTTGATTTAACGAATATTTTGTACCTTCCACGTCATCAGGATTGTCTGACTTTCCTTTTGTCTGCATCGTATCCGAGCCTCGGATATCCCAGATATGTTCCGAAAGTAAAGGAATAAATTATTAGCTCCGCATGCGAGCGGATATTGTATGAAATATAAACATAGGAAAGTAGCATAAGAGTCAATTATCTACATATTTTCCGATATGTGCGATCTTTTTTTGTAGATCACGCGTGTAGATAAAGGAGAGATCGAACGTGCGCAATGCGCTACTAAGAGAATTGAAGATTAACGAGAATTATTGATTAACGTCAGAGATTTGTGTTGCCTTGCACAGACGTATTTTTCCACGTGACTTAATTCTCGCGGACACTTCCAACAGGAATTGCAGATTTTTCATTTTATCAGACTGATTTTGTTCTTATCTGACGTTTATCAATCTGATTGCTGGATTTGAATATACACATCGGACGTCCAAGATAATAATCAGAAACATAAAATTTCCTTGTGTTCGTGGCATAAGAGATCATAAATGGTTATCTCTATTTATTATTCAAAATTTAAGTTCACAATTTCTTTCTCTCATCATTTAATAAAACGTAAATACAACGATCAATTGTTCTCTTGGAACGTCCCCTGCTAATGTGTATATATATTATATATTTACACATACACACACACACACACACACACACACACACACACACACACACACACACACACACACATACACACACATACATATATACATACATACAATGTCAAAAGATATTCGACAGTACGGATGACCTGCGTATATACCTCCGGCATATAATGGGAGTTTAAAAGAAAAATATTGAAATTGTAACTATATAATATATCGATTACTATATAAAAGCGGATAATGTCATTATAGTACAAGATAATTTCACACACACACACAGACACACACACACCATTCCTCTCAATGTTCGATTAGTTTATTGTATGATTATATGAATTTATGTCAACCGCATAATCCATCTATTTTGTAATAAATTTTCCATGCTGACATTTTTCTTTCTCCATATGTACAGTGCTCCATACAGCGCTGATCAGTTCAGATTTTGCATTGATCGCAATATATACATTCTGTATATTGCAATAGCAATTGCAATATTGCTTCAACATTTTCAAAGCGCGTAGTTTCATTGAAAGAAATGTTAAGTTTCTAGCATATTATTTTTACTTATGTAAATTGGCAATATATATATATGTGTGTATATATATATATATATATATATTGCGAAATTGTTTTTATTTTACCGTTGATACAAGACATATACACACACACACACACACATATATACACATACACATATACACACACGTGCTACATTAAGACAATTATTAATTAAATATATATATAATATTTATAGATAATTGACGAGTGGTTGCATTTTTAATTGTTATAGAGTACAAGATATCAAAAAAGCAAAAGGGACGCTTATACTTTAGGATTTGTTACATGATCTAAATGAGATATAAATTAATGAGGTGCACATTTTGTCTTCACTGAGAGTACAAGGAGAAAAGTCTCAGACAGAGAAAGAAAGAGAGAGAGAGAGGGGGGGAAGAGAGAGAGAGAGAGACAGACAGTGTATGGAGAATTAACGGATCAATTCTCTCGTTTCGCGAAGTATTAACGAGTATTATAGCGGTCGGGCTCCTTTCTTCGTCCGTGACGACAAAATGCTACGCGTAACGTTGTCGACATATTAACGATGGCCTCATAATATTATTACTGAATGATTGCATATTTGAAATTGTATCGATACGTTATTATACACATATATTGCCGTTGATAGTATTTTTATAAGACTTACCTTGCGTTCTCGACAGGAATTATTGCTTCTCAAATACATCCTATATCGTGCGAACGGTTACGACAGTGGCCGACGATAATCTCGGTGACACGAAGAGATGTGATTCTGTTCCTTGAAGTGTTACAAATAAAATAATCCCTACGTGCAAAGGAATTCGTCAGTTACCTCTCGCTCCACCACACGCGCACCACACCACACTTTCTTCTGTTTAAAACGCTCAAATTCTTGCTCAAAATAACCGAGCAATTTTTCTTTTTTTTTACAATTAATGCATTCTTATGAAACACAAAAGTCGTGTCTCCGTATTTTCCAAATTTAAATTGTGTTGTATATTCTGCTTTTCTTTCCTTATTTTCAAGAACTTACATCTAACAATATAACTGTGACATTTCTCATTTATTTAGAAGTTTTTGCGCTTCAAGAGCAAGATCTATTTAAAAAAATCTAGAATATAGTCAATGTAAAAAGAAACGTTCAAATTTTGAAAACTTCTTTCTTTGCTTCATACTGTCACGTCTGATAGTTTTCATCGGGGATACGACACTTGCGCCTGAATCGCGTGCTGGTGGAAGAGGTACACCTTAGCTTTAATTCTATTATATCCGCTGCTACGTAGTCTTGTTCGCAAGTTCTCCTATCGCGATATATTATCTCGTTAAAGAAAAAATGGAATTATGATTGTTGTAATATTGAAATGATACGTCAGAGAGTAGCGTGATTATATTATCAATACATTTTATAGATACACTAATATTATCGAAAGATTCGTTGTACGAGAGAAATTTATGTATCGTCGAATTTTATGAAAACTAATTAGAAGATCGAGATGTTTTTACTGCGAAGATAGATCGTTCCGGGCGGTAACCTCGAGTGGCCAACGCGTGAGCTCAAGTAGTATCGATTATAGTTTGTGCGCAATTTTTCACCTGTATACATGCATAGGCGATGCATATACGAGCACGATGAAATTTCACTTATCTTCAGCTTTGGTAAGTGAGATTTCGTCGTGATCGAAGACGATTCATAAATTTTCACGTAAATCGCGCGGGAATTTCCCCGACAATTTCCATCCGACCTATTCTAACATAAACTAATACATATCATGCGATATAAAACTATGTACATTATTATACATTATATGCGGCCAGCTCGGCGAGCAATTTCGAATGTCTCTGTGTGCGATCGACCCGCGTGGTGTGATTGATTTATTCTTAATTCAGTCCCCAATTTGAGTAAGAATATTGTAGAATTAGAAGAAGAAACGTGTTTGACACGCGTTTGAGTTGAAAAGAAAATTGTATTCAAAAGAAAAAGAAAAAAAAAACAGAAATTGTCAGCATCTCTTCATAATACGTTTATATCGGGAATAGAAATGTATGTAACGCCAAATCTCTAGGTTCACGCGGCGTACGATAATTTTAATTGTCAAGATCGCACACGATGGTTAAACTGTTCGCGAGCCAGCTCACTCATACTCCCGCATGGGTAACTTTAACGAGATATAGTAAACGATTAAGCTGTAAGTTTACATAGACTACCACGTATATAATTCGAATCACGTTGCGGAGCACACGAAAGAAATCAGGATCAATCGCTTCAAGCATCAGCCGCAATCGGGTGAAACGTCTAGTTCTTCCAAGATGAGCGTACTCATCGGTGGGACGTTCTCGAGAGTGTATGATCTTTTACGGGCGCTGCTCAAGTGCGATTAGAGAGGGGGAGAGAGAGAGAGAGGAGGGATGTAAGTTTATAATTATAAGCTAGCGCGAGACACAGATTACGATCGCGGATCGATTGACTAAACGAGGTTTGTATAAATGTATATATAGAGAGCGACGGTATTACTATGTCGAGACACACTAATCGAAGAGTTACTTTGCGTTAGATGCGGATTTCTTCGACAGTGCTATGTCTGACATGACGAATGGATTAGACAAGTGCAGATTATACATATATACATATGTAAACGCAACCTATTACTGACACTAATAATAACAATAAATTAGAACGATTCGTTATACATTTCTTTTATTATATCTCTTCTCTATGACTCTTTCCCTCTCATTAGGCCAGAAACGATTCCGCTATTGATATTGGGCCAACAGTTGCAGGATAGGTCGGGACACGACCTGCAGAGACGACTTGCCCCATATGAAGTCGTAGTGATTGAAGGTGTTTATGGAACCATTGTTGTAATGAAGCACGACGCTGTTGAGCCTCGCAACCAGAAGTTCCACGTCCTTAAACAACGGTTTAATCAGTCTTGTGATTATATTCAACTATATGATTAGAAACGAATATTAATGCGATGGATTTCATATCGTTTGCTTGAAAAAGACATCGAAATTTAATTTCATTTAATTGATCCAAAAAGCAATTGTTCATAACTTGCAAGTACTTTCGTAGTTGCCAGCCAATCGTTGTCGCTGTTGAATAGTACGATCGGTGCTGTGATCTTCTCCAATTGGTAGTCCGGTGGTACCGTCGAATTATATTTGCGCAGATTTCTCTCGTTATTGCCATAATCGTATTGCCTAAAGTATCCTGAAACGTGTTGAAGTCTCAAAATAAATTTGTTATTATCTATATGGAAAGTACACATCAAACTTTAAACGCGTTTATCTGGAAACACCATTTTCTTAAACTATCGACACGATTGCGCAAAAACTACTGAACCGAATAACTTGAAATTTTTACACAATACACAGTAGACATGTAGTTTTCGCCCCCTCCCCCCCCTACTTCGAACACATTTTATTTTATTCACTTTTTTAAACATGATTACAAGTTGAAAAAGATTTCATTTTCGATGTTTTTTTTTGTACAGTCATTATTTTTCCAAACTTGGCTTCACTGCTTTCATTTTAGTACAGGCTATAATGGCAACCGTATATTTTAAAAATCTTTCCCAGTTTTTGGTTTCAGAGTAGTGAGAGGCCCGGAATTATATCAACAGCAAACATAGAGCTCGCAAACAGATGACTGCATTTTGATCTATAATTACAAACTGGATCGGTTCTCGTGATTGAATAAAATTTATTTTATACTTTAAACATTAATGAATATACTGTGAAAATTTCAAGTCCATTGATTTTACCGTTTCTGTTAAAAATATCCTTGAAAACGTTCTTCCGCGTGTAATTCCCCCTTAAGCGTGTTACCTTAAATTGTACTCTGACTATGTCATTTTGGATACGTAATTACTTTTATTCGCTCAGTCAGACTCGCACTCGAGAAGTGACACATGTTCGAAGCGACTTACTCTTCTCTCTACACTTGTTAATTGCCACATTACCTGTGTTAATATATCCCTGTGCATAATGAATGAACTGTTTCCAGGAAGCACCGGCGGGCACGTGGCCCATAATTACCGTCAAATTTTCCTGTTCAAAGAAAGAAAAGTCGATTAAAGGTGCAGATGGAGGCGAGCGAGATCGAAGATGAATACATTGCCTCCTTCTTCCCTAGCTTACCGTGTCCAACTCTGCACGGCTAAATCCCGATATCAAAAAGAAGAAGTTGCTGCAGATGATTTGTGTGGACGCCGCGTTCCGACACAATAAATTCGACACGAATTTTCCCCAGTTGGACCGAGGACCGAATTCTGGGTAGCCGAAGTTCTCGCCGATCCACTGTTAAATGCAAGCGATCGTTGTGAGAAACGATGTGAGGGGTCTTGGGACGTCTGCACGACACGACTTACCACGCCGACATACGCCAACTTGGTAAGTTTAGTGATCGGCCCGCGCATGTTGCCGGTGAAGGCCGCGGGAGCCAGTGCGATCATCAAGATAATCTTCGAGTTGTATTCGGGTTTCTCCGACGCCATCACCAAGAATTGTGTGGTGCCTTCCGAGTGACCGATGTAGAAGATTCTCTCGTGTCCCGTCGTATTGGAAACGTAGTCGATCATCGCCGGTAGATCGTACATACCAAGCTCGTGATAACTGAAAAACGCGCGAAATCTTCCTATAGATGACAAAATGTAGGCAAGACGCATCATGCGCCTTTTACATCGGTAGTCTCCAACAAATTTATTAAATTTTCATCAAATTTTCGCTAATCGCTTGTTGCTTTAAACTGCCGATTCTTTCCCAGATGAGACCAGATGTCTGTCGCAATGTGATTGCTGTGTCTAACTCGATGACGGCTCGAGGACGGATGATAATTGATATTTATCTTGCGATATTTATATGACAGTGTGTTGTGTGGGGAATCATGATAGGTGCTACAAAATCACTTTTACCTAATTAAATGCAATTAAAATTAAAATTTGAAGTTCCAGTTACCTAAAGTTCCAGAAACTTGAATTGGACGGCGATAGCGAGGTGTGATTCCTCGAGTAAATGTTGCCCCTGTTATTTCCAAGCCACACGTCGTAACCCGCGTCAGCTAACAAGTATGCTGGAAATAGTCTTTCGTTACATTATCTCGTCCATGACAATCGACCATCTCGTCGATAACAGTTACCAATAGCGTTGACACAGCAATTTTCTTAACAGAATCGAAAGACTCGCGTAAACGTACCTAAGGACTTGCCAGGACCCATAAGGACCCAGCCGACGGAGCTTCCTGCCATACCGTGCACCAAAAGTATCGGCGTTCTTCTCTCGGATCTCGTTTCATCGTTGTTATTCAGACCGTACGGTATACGATGCAATTGCAAGATGTAGCCATCGGCTGTAACGATATCGTGAATCTCCGAGGGATACTTGTACTTCGTCACCAATTCGGGCTGTCCATCGCACGAAAATTATCAAGTTACAAGGTACATTGATAAATGAATTGAGTTTGACCTAATTGTAACATACGACTCGAGTTGAAAGCAGATCGAATCTACTCTCCTTTATTCACAAAAATGACTGTAATAAACGCCTAAAAAATATGATTAAATTTTCTAGACACGTCACTTATCACGTTTACTCGAGGAGTTCCGGTCACGAGACACTACAAGTGTCGAGATACGAGAGGACAAGCGAATAAGCATTAAATAACCCGGTTTAATATTAAACATTCTATTGCCTTTTGCGGCGCGTAATTCATATGCGTCAGCGTATGCAGTACCACACACCGTAGGTTAGCTATGTAGTCCGAGCAAAAAGCAGAAGGTCAAGAAAGAACGAAAGAACTTACTGTCGTGAGTGAAATGTCAGGATTATTATCCAGCATGATGAACGCGACCGCTGTCGAGAGGCAGTATAGAGTGACTATCGCGGAAATCCGTCGTCGTGCCGACGACATTGTCCTGACGTGCTCGAATGGCAGAAAGTCGAAAATTTCGCTCATGAGCATTTTATATACACTTATTGTATTCCCTGCTAGCTGTCCACGTTCATCCTCGACTTTTACCGTAAAAAGCATCACCCGAGGAGCGACAGTGATGGGGCGGTGTCACGTGCTTCGGGCGATTACACATCGTGCGAACAAATGAATATACAGCTCTGCAAGAGCTCTGTAATATTTTCAGCACTTGAAGGTTTCAGCGCGGCCGATTTTCGCGCTGTTTTATCAAAATTATCACGGCCGTGTGTATTCTGTAACCGTTTGAAGAATTGCCACCAATTCTCGCCTAAAATGCTGAAAGGATACGTCGAAATTTGTTAAATCAATATTATGTTAATTTCTATTCTTTTTTTCCGTAAAAGCAAAGCTGGAATAAATGTTAACAGAAAATGTGCAATATTTTTGTAATATCAATGTAACGAGCATAATAATAATAACAAGTAATATTAACATGATTTAGATCCAGAAAATAGTGATAAAGAGGGCTATCGGTAACGAGTTTTATATTCGTAATCATTTTTTATTATTTATGGAAATGCGACAAAATGTTGTTGACAAAAAGATCAATTTATTTATTATTGTCAAAGGAGGTGATTTTAATGCTTACATAATTTGGAAACTATCCTACCGTTATCTTATCTTTGGGGAGCGTTGCGACGGCAACTGCTACAACTGGGTCGTTGTATGCAAGGTCGATTTCGTCAGCTCTTTGCGTACCCTTGAAAGGAATTGGGCTAATAGGTTTACCATTTTATCGTTAGATTACAAGTATCTCTCGTGGACTCGTTCACGTTCAATTTCGGATTGAGCAACGTTCGATTGTAAAACTCGCAATACCTTATGTGCTGATTTTGTTTCTGCGCGCGCCGTGATTTTTTCTTCATCTATCTTGAGAATCCTAATAAAATTGTATTCAAATTTAACTGCAAAAATAGCGCACATTTAAAACTCTCTTCGATAATCTTATTATATTCTTTGCAAGATTGAGAATGCGACTTTCATAAAGAAGTTACAAGTTACAGTAAGTAAGAAACTCGACAATTATGAATTGATAGAAAGAAAGAAATTAATCGATTCGATCGGAAATCAATTGTATGAGAATTGTTATGACAAGTAAAAGAAAAATTAAAAACTAATTACGTTAACGAAGAATATCTCGATGATCCCTTTCCTGATCCTGTGGTAACCCGATATATTGCCGCGAGTCACACACACAAAATTCCGCATTATCCTCCATCAAAAGGTAAGAAATTCGCGTTGGTCGGATGCACGGATTTCGCCATGAGATGGCAGCACTTACGCTGTTTAAAACGTCTGTAACGAGCTGATATTGGGCGGCATTTAAAAATGGCGATGCACTTGTCAGTATTTTGTATTATTAATCCGGCGAAAACCAAGAGTATTATCAAGGATACGCGATATAAGTGACTAGTTGATACGTTAATATAAACAATTATTGCTCGCCGTGTTACCGTCGTACCAAAGAGAAATGATTTCCTCTGTTGTTATTTACGTTATACTGGCTGTTACAAGTATGACTATTGTTATGGACTGGAGTTACGTCCAATGTTGTTATCTTTACGTTGTACTGACTTGCTCCTGCCTGCTCGTCGGCCCATTAATTATGATACTGATCAACATAGCTCTGTCGCCCAAGCACCAGACTGGCTCTGGTACTGTTAGAACTATCGCAGAGTTGGATGCTTTCCACAACATGCTAATGGTATAATTCACTATGACCAGATTGATAATATTCCTCTAACATTGATAAATGTTACTTAACATACAGCAGCAGACCGTTGCGGTCGATAATGTTGGACGTTACAGTCGTACAATAAGCCAGAGGTGATGGCAGTCTCTGGTGTTGTCGTTTTTGATTTTGCGCTGATTTTTCAGAAAGGATACGAGCCAAAATCAGGCAACACGAGGAAACACATGCGTTATCCCATGGTCTTCACTCGTCTGGTGGACGGTGCTCTGCAGAACTTGTTGGATTTAGTTTTCCAGGACTTTGTTGGTTCTTGGTTGAATGATCTAGCTTTTGGCTCGGAGCAGCTGATAGATAATATGAAGCAGGATGTCTGGGGCGCGATACAGAGCCTCCACGATCGTTTGTCGCGTGTCGATCACACGAAATTAGTTGTTTGTAATATAGTGAACAAGCTTACCTTCCACTTTGAGAAGATCAGGATAGCTCAAGCAGCTTCGTAAGTTTCCTTATTGTCAGTTTTAAGAAACACAACGACACTTATACAACGAGACAAATTCGTTTATCGCACTCAGATCGGAAGGGGAGGATCCTGTATTTATTTTATCAGCGCATCTGATGTCACCTGTCGCTGAGTTGGAGTATTTAAGGAAAATCAGTGAACTTTATATTCTATTTCTGTTACCGCGCAGTTATTCTCTATCTCCTGTAAAATTCCTCCTGAGGGAGGTTCTCACGTGCAAAAGTGAGTGTTACCATTTCACTGCAAACAATCATCACTCGTCGACTGTATGCTGTATCCAACCTACTCCATTTTAGTTTTGAAGCCAGCAATAGACTTGATTACGGATCCCGACTATATCAATCAGAAGATCCTGGCGTATATCGATCAGCAGCAGCTCGCCGAGGCGATGCACAGGAAAACGTACGAATACGCGGAGTCCTTTGAGGATTTTATTCGCATGATCAAGGCCTCCAGAGACTTGGAGGTTCTCAAACATATCAGATATAATATCGTCACGGAGATCATGCAAGCCACCACGATACAAAACGTCAAGCGCGCTCAAGGTTTGGATCCCGAGAATAACGCGTTCGGAAAATCCGACGCTGTGCAAGCGAGAAAGTTGAAGAGGTACATCAGCCAACTGACATATGCTAAAAACACGTGCGAATGTCACATGCAGACATTGGGATGGGATGGATATCCTCGTCAGGTTACATACGAACATGTCTATCGTACGGTTCACGATCAGAACTATATTTCATAATGACGTATTTCAGGACACCGAGATCTGTGACGCCATGGAAGTCTCGGAGAGCAGGATTCTCCCGCTGCAAGCGATTCTGGATAACGTGACCGGTCGCCGATATCTGTCTCAGTTTTTGGAGCAGGTCGCCAGCCAAGGACTGATCGGCTATTGGGCCGCGGTACAAGAGTTACGCGCCGCCGACCGATCTAACTGGCATCAATTAGGAGCCGAGATCTTTTACACTTACATCAGGTCACCCACCGCTGAGATCAAAGTAGACAAGAACGTCCGCAAACGGATGGAGGCTTTTCTCCTGGGTGATAAGGGACCCGCCGTATTTTATGAGGTTCAAGACAGCGTGGTCAAGACGCTCCAAGAAAAATACTACCCGTCGTTCCTCGTCAGCGAGCAGTACAAAAGCATGCAGGAGGCGTTGCTCAATGAGAGGGCGGAAGGTATCAGTATTATTAAGTTAGTGCTGAAGATCTGTCATTTTTCTATTGAATTCAACTCAATTCTATCGAATTGAAATGATGTGAGATGTTTGGGTGTTGACAGGAAAGTTCTCGTTGAATATCCAAGAGGAAACCGAGTCGAAAATATTTATCGACGTTATTTATTTTATTCGTCAAGATTGTTAATCCTTCGAAATTAGATGATTTCCTTTTCTATTTTATTCGACAAGCACGACAAATCTTCTGCATCAACTTACTAAAGATAAGATGCACGTTATCGTCGACGATGCGAAAATCTCCTTGTCGATCTGTTGTGACGTGTTGTGTGTGTGTGTGTCAATCTTTTCTCGTACATTCTCCCACGTTCAGGTTTGGTCGAGGATCGCGGAATAGTCGATGGGGCATTATCGGAATCTTCGTCATTGCTCGTCGGCGAGCGGTCGAATTACGCTCGTAGCAAGCTGGATCAACTGCAGGAGAAACTGAACAACAAGATGCAAGCCTTACAAGCGCTCAAGTCTTCACTCAAGCCGGAAAGCAAGGTGCTGAGCATATTAGCGAAAGAAGTTGAGTGGCTGCAAGGCGAGAAGCGGCAACTAGAAGCGCATCTGACACACACGGAAATGTGGGCCGAGCATTTGGGCCATTGGAGGGCGGACGTGCAAAGCGCAGAGGTAATTTAGTATCATCTTCTGATGCTCGTGCGAAAGGCTTTACGGTTCATTATCGTTAAGTAGATGCCCGATAACGGGGATCCTCCGCAATTTGTATTGGTTGTCCACATGGCAGAGGAAGACAACGACGAGAGCATATCCAGCGGATGGGTGGTGTTGAGGAAATTGCAGGATTTTCAAGACCTGCACAGAAAGTTGCGTCAGTTATGCTCTAACGTGAAAAACTTAGACCTGCCTTCGCAACCTCTCAAGTTCTTCGGGAAATCCGATAAGAGCACTCTCGACAAAGCTAAGATGCAGATACAAAAATATTTGAACGTAAGCGCGCCTCGCGGCAGTCTCTCTTGGTTGGCTCTTGCCAACCATGCGAGCTTGAAATTTCTCACGTCGAGATCTCACCGCCTCGTTGATTCTTGCAGTTTGTCCTGGAGGACGAAAGGCTGAATCAGAGCGAGGCGCTGTATGCTTTCCTCAGCCCAAGCTCGGAGCACCTGAAAGCCGTGGCGCCGTCTCCTAAGAAATCTCGTTTCTCTCTGTCTACGTTATTCAAAACGTACGTCGCATTTGCTTTCTTTCTCTGAATCCCGCGCGACCAACCATCTCTCGTTGACCGCACGAGTCTCTTTGGCAGATCCGTCGGCAGCAACGAGCCGCGCGACAAGGAGGACGAAGAGTATTATTCATTGTTGCTGGACGACAGCGAAACCGGTCGTACCGCTACGGACAACTATCTGAACGTTAGCAAGGACGCGATCGCGGAACCTCTGTACACGCTTCTAGGAGAGGTTTTCGACTTGAGAGGAGTGTTCCGCTGGCTCAGACGATCCCTGATTACCTTCGTGCAGATTACTTACGGACGGACTATAAATAGGTAAAATGCGTCGCGAGCGAAAACTCGCTCGCGTCCGCGCGGATTTCTGAATATCTCACGCACTTGTGTAACAGAGAAGACCAAACTCTGTACAAAATGAGATTCTCTAGATACTCTAGATGCCCTTTTTTTTAGAGATACATAGGTACTTTTTACAAGTCTAACATTTTATTCTTCAACCTCATACGAAACAATCAACTCTCTCCTCTTCCATATGAAGTTCGTTATGGTGGTAGTAGTCGTAGACGTTTTGCAAAGTAACGTTATAATCAATATGTTAATTTAATGTTAACATTAATATACATATAAATAATGATAATATTGACATCAATAATACATGTCGATACCATTAATGTTAATATTAACACTGATCGCAGACAAATCAGAGATACCGTCGCGTGGGTGTTCTCCGAGCCGATGCTTCACTATTACATACAGCTGTTCACCAAGTCGTGGTGGCCGAACGGTCAGCTCGTGTCCGAGGCCGTTCTTCGTACCGACGAGGAGAAGCTAAAGACACGGGGCGAAGCACGCCGGCAGTTTCTCAATAATGTACCTGAAGTACTGACGAACCTGGTGGGAACACAGAGCGCGCAGCGCGGCGCGACCAAGGTCTTCGATTCTCTGCAAAACGTGAATCTGAACAAACAGTTATTTTACGTAAGTAGCTAATTGGTCCGCGAGCGATGTCTCTGACTTCGTGTCCCGGGGCCTTTTCTCCTTCCTCCATTCTTTCATTCCTTTCATTTCCTTTGTTCCGCAGGACATATTCGAAGTGCTGATGTACGAAGTATTCCCGGAACTGCAGCGCAAATAATGTACCTTAACGAGAATAAATTAATGTGACATACAGTGAGAGTACGCAATACCGTTCACTTCTCTTCCGGTGGATCTTATCGCATAATTACTCCAGACGCAGCGGATTGCATCCCCGCGAGAGAGCAAGGGCAAGATACTCTCGACGGGTTATGCAACCCGCACTGAGAGAGATACATGTGTGTGGGTGTATATATGTGTGCGCGCGCGCGCACACACGTGCTATAACTCGGGAAACGTACGATAAACTACAACGTTTTATTATTCAACATTCCTGTAGATATATTAACTTTCTCTTTCTTTCATACGCAATCGCGGGATCGCGCGTCCTCTTTGCACGACATAATAAATATATATTTATATATGTATATACGCCGTATCACACATCTCGTACAACCAATTCAACGTCCGCTATTACGTACAATGTGCTGGGTGACACATCTCTGGTAATAGCGTTGACACGTTTTATAGTTACCGCAAAATTGATACGAACTCTACACATCATCACCGCGCGTACTTAGGAATGACTGCTACGCGTTCCCTATTTCAGTGTGAATCTAACAATCGTCGCAACGAGATTGAGCAACAGAGAGCCGGACGCGAAGAGACAGTGCGCGCTGTCTGACGCGCGTGATTGAACGTTAGGGTAGAAATGTTATAACTCCATGTGTTTATTTCGTCAGTTTTAATTGTCATATAAGGATATAAAGTATAAACAATTGAGCTGGCGCGCATAATTTGCAGTTTCAACAGCATTATGATATATATCTCATATATGTTTCTATAATACACTTTAATACTTTCTAATAGCCTCTCGTAGCAGGAATATATCTTATATTGTAAGTAACACGCGAAGGTACCTATATCTGTCGCTTTGCAGAGATACATGTATCCGATTTCATGAAGAAAACTGAATAGCTGCGAGAGCGAGTTTGCTAATGCTAAATGAAAAGAATTTTGGACCAGCCAATGTGTATGCGTATGTATGTATATATGTGTGTATGTGTGTGTGTGTGTCATTTAAATGTTTACGCAACTAATGAGATTCATGAGAGCGTAGCGATCATGGAAGTAATGGACGTATGTAGAATCTCGATAAGGGCAACTCGATAATTGCATCTCTTCACAAGCACATTATCATACTAAACGTATGTTTCGAAGATCGATTTTACGGTAACTATAAAATATATGAGATAAGGTATAAATTATGTAAAAGAGAGAGAGAGAGAGAGAGAGAGAGAGGGGGGGGGAGAGAGGGAAAGTTCGTAGACATTACATGCTACTGACATACGGATTCGAGAAACACGTTCGACACGAAGGGGCGTACGCCGGATAAACGGAGCGTGGAACAAGCGACAGAGGTACGCATCTTTAAGATATAAAGATATTAATATGCAGACTTACATTTCCTTTCTCCTCTCTCTGACACGATATGAAAAATAGCGGTCGTTATCGTAATGTTGTGAGGGAATTCGAACGTATTCGTATGTCGAGGACCGCGTGGGGGTCGGTCTGTAGATTACTATCTACGGAAATATAAACGATCTATTACTCATACTGTGCAATATAAATACTGCTAAGTAACGTTGACTAGATAGTTACAAGCGATATTTCGAGGAATAGAAGGAGTATTCGAGTTACAATAGGAACAGACGAAGTATAGTATACAGAAAACACTGATCTCTATGTCCGGAGTTAATCGAGCGCCGCGCTACACTCGGTAGTGTGCCGGCCCTCCGCCCTCTCTACCTTCCTTTTGCTACGTAACCTTTTACAGCGTGCTTGAAGAATATACTTAAAGGTCTGATCTAAGATAAACCATTAAAATGTAAGAAACTGTAAATAGGCTTATAGATGCCTAAGGAATAATGAATATGCTTTGTCTTTATACAGAGGGCCGTGCGCATCTGTTCGTTCGAATCACAGTATGTCTCAATGGCAATAATAATTTGCTGACTAGACTTTCTTGTTCCTCACCATCATCCAATGATGCGTAGGTTTCAAGAGAGAAAAAGAGAGAGAGAGAGAGAGAGGGAGAGAGAGAGAGAGAAAAGAGGAAGAAAAATAATGAAGAACGCATCCTCTCCTTCTTCGTTCCTTTACTTGGTAGTGAACTCGGGCCAATAATTTATGTAATAACGTTGTGTTAATCCCTCGAATAGTCTGTCGAGCCACATCGGTAACCCGTCCAAAAGGTTGTCGTGATATAAAACGTTGTTTCCACCCTGCGAGAAAAGTGGCGCAACATGCACACGATTAGCAGACATCAATTGCAACAATCGGTCTTGCGCGACCCTATCGTTAGTCGTCAACGACCGTTGCGAAATGCGCAGGTCTCGACGACCTGCCGCTATAGTTTTTTTAATTTACCTCATCCTGAGACATGTCGGAATCGTTGGAACTGTCAAAGCCGATGAAAGCACCGGCTTCCGCGTCCTCGGGTCTCTGAGCGAGTTGCTTGGTCATCCTCTCTAGACGCTGTGTACGTGGCATTGCAACGCAGATGTTACATCAACGCAGATGGTAAACAGAGTCTCCATACTCTTCAAGATACTCCGATACATACCTTGGAACTCTTGCTCTTCGTCATCGACTCCGGAAGTTTAGCGTGGTACATGCAGAAGTATCTCCGATGGCCATTCAAGGATAATACCGTTCCCACGCAGTTCTTGGCATTTATGTTCAGTTCCTTGCGATCGAATAGAGTGAGAGACAAGAGCTTCTTGTACCAATCGAGACCTTTCTCTAATGACATATGCGCGAACATAAGCGTCTTATTCTTCCTGCACAAAGTACAAAGTCGTGCTTTATTACAGCGTCGAGTTCAAGTCTGCTCGATTAGAACTTACTTTAACTGGTAGTAATTTAATTCAATCAAGTCAGCACTTGTTTAACAAATTAGTAATTCATCTACCGTGTGACCTTTACTATGGCTGTTGCTACACGAAATTTGTGACACAAGATATTGGTTGTAGAAAAAGAATTTATAAACATTGACGCAGCGTACCTATAAGGCCACACAACTTTGTGGAAAACTGGTAACAATTTTAATCGACTCTGAGCGTCAACCAACAGAATGATGGTTCGGCAGCCCGGCTTCAAAAGTCGGACCAAACCGTTGTATTTCTCCGCGCGCAGCTCGTGTATTCGAAGCTGCGGCGGCTGCGGCGGAGACAATTTGTCCTTTAAGGGGGCCTGGATAGTCGCTTCTTCCAGCTTGCTGAATAAGAAAAGAAAACACCCATGAAAATTCGCGCGCGCGACAAAGCTGATACAATGTATGAAAGTTTACTTTCATAACAAATCGACTGTACGTGTGCACGGCTAGAGTACATGCTTAAAGGTTTAGTAATCGCTTATTTATCAGTATGTATGCATTTATCGATCTGTTAACATTAGCCATTCGGTCGTGAAAACTGACTAACACCGCGATGCTGAGATCAGAATGAGAAGCGTATACCAGCGTGTACCAATTTCGCAGTTCAATTCTACTCACGCTAGGTATGACATGCCATACCCTGCTGCCCCGATCAGCACGAGAGTCGCTAGTACCGATATCAGAGGTAAAATCTGCTCTTTCGTCAGATTATCGGATATATAATCTACCGCTAATAATGCCCTTCCTATCAATCTGCCTACAGTACCCTGGGTGGAGATATCAAGATATCAATATAGCAATACGGTTGACAAAGTTACAAAGACCAAGTACAATATTCAAAAATTGAATATATGATTGTACTAATTAATATATGTTAATACACATATTAATAATATATATTCTTAACTCATCATTAACTCATAGTTAATAATAGCATATACTAATTATAAAAATAATTATAGAAATAGTATCTGTCGTCGAGAGATCGCTTTGGAATGCATACCTGTGCGTGCTCGTCTGCTAGTTCCTCTATGACAGCGGCATACGGTAAAGCTTCGGTAGCGCGTAACAGCTTCTGTATAGTCTTCTCTAAATGCCTACGAGTCTCGTTCCATATACGCTCGTCCTGCGCGGCATCGGCCCATCCGTTGGGCAGCCACTCGTACTTTAAGTGATTGGCGTCTCGTCTCCAGATGATGACGATATGTGACAACGGTTCCAGCGGGCTATCTTCGCTGGCTGACAGAGCCGACACGAATTCGGGCTGCGTGTCTTTGAATATGTACGTGTATCTCACGCGTTCGGAGCTACAAAGCACGAAGGATAATCAGTGAGCGATGTGGCCGGCGGAAAACGCCGGGGCGGGTTCGATCGCGACCTGCAGGAGACGCTACCTGTAAGAAGACTCTAACGCCGCTTGCCTAAACTTGTGCCTAGCTATATCGTGAAGTGGGCTATTTTGTTGTGATATTAAAACGGCGCACAAGCGCTTCTGCGGCTTCAACCATTCAGGCGGGCATATAGAGTCCAACATGGCTTGATTCGAAAGCCTTGGCAAAACGAGAAACTTATTGTTGGCGATAACGTTATGCATGGTTTCGCTGGAAATATCTTTCATACTAACAGACGCCATAGGCTTCTCAGAATTCTCATTGAACAGTAGCAGAGTGTCCAGTTCTCCTGAGATTTTGTATTTCGACGTAATATCCTTGGTCTCAGGTATACCGACCTATCGGTAACGACGAATATTAATTACGCTTAACGAACAGAGTGACTTTGTAACGAACGACTTGGTGTAGTTTATTATTACGAGACGCTTACCTGGACAAAACCAAACGCCACGCGATCTCTGTGATAGAAAGACGTAAGTAAATATCGCAATCGAATGAAGTCTCTTTTCTCGAATATCAGTGCGCGAATTCGATTGTCCGTCCAACCCGACAAGAAGTTCTCCACGTTAACGTTGTTAACGGTGGTTATTAATTTATATGGTAGTTTACTTCGTACATACTCTGCAAACAAATGTGTCCATCAGCTGAGGATCAAAGTTGCAACTTCCTCAGCGAGTGACCAACAACGTACCGATAACCTTCTGAATGCTAAACAACGATTCCTTATAAACATTGGCGTGTCCTTCTATGATAACGACGAGACACGGAAGCGAGTGGATACCGAGTCTCCTCGCCAAGCTGGTTTCTTTCTTGATGTCCACAGTGGCCAAGCCGAAACCTAGTGGCTCCAATTCATCGATCAGTCGTCGCCACGTAGGCTCCACTTGCTGGCACGCAAAGCACCAATCGGAATAAAATAAAATTAAGTACGGCATACGATAAGTTTTCGGCACTATCATATTTTCATACGACCTGCGAATTGCGAGGAAATAATTAGACAGAACGTGATTGGTGTAGTATACACAGCGACAAATTGCTCAACAAGCAAGAGATACACACCGATATGTGATGCTCATTTTATGGAACAGCGTGATATCTCTCTTCTGATAATGGAATTGGAAATTACCAGAGAAGAGTTCTTCCAAAGGATCGCGAACATTGTATTGTTTACTATCCCTCCTTTGCCTCGAGACCCCATCCTCTGATGTTATCCCAAAATTATCAAACTTCCTCCTTCTTTCCGGATCTGTCAGAAGCTGAATAATTCAACACAATGATACTCGATACTCCTAGAGTACTGCCTCTAGCATATGGCGCTGTTTCAAGCAGGAAAAACATACCTCATAAGCTTTAGTTATCTCTACAAATTTATCCTCAGCCATTGGATGGTCAGTTTTATCCGGATGCCTGAGACAGAAGTAGTGTTCGCATTGAGGTATTTCTCAGCCAGGAGAACACCGCTATCGCTACCAGATAGAGACAAATTTGCCATCACTTACCATTCCTTAACGAGGTGCTTGTACGCTTTTCGGATGTCCTGCAGAGTCGCATGTCTCGATACACCCAGTATCTTGTACGGATTACCCAAGGAATCGACTGCGACGACCGACGGTGTCAGCTGGCTGATCAGGAGGAGGCACAGGAGCAGCAGGAACGCATACCTCATCAATGGCGCGATATTACTCTTGGTAACGTCGCCGGATCGTGTGCTCGTCGACGCGTGAGTCATTAAAAAATCAATCAATAACATTATCCGTGACGCAGTGGCAATCCACGGGGCTACCCCGTCTCTCTGTGCACCGTGCTAAACCGTGATTTCGTGCAGCTGATCGCGGCTCGTTCGTTATTCGCTCAGGCTACCTCTCGGTCACGCAGCCGGAGTTAGCAGACATATTTCGCGCGGATCATCGTCCACTCGTGTCGTCGCGTGGGGCGTTCAGCACGTCGGCGGAGTCTCACATCAACATTCCTGGGTCACCATGTTGTCAAATTAGACACGCATACGGGCCTCGGCTGGCGAGAGCGATGGCGAAATCTCACGGCCGGTTTACAGACGCAGCCGGTGACAGCGAGCGCTCTCATGCGAACCCCGCGAGTCGCGGCCAATTGTGATCGGAACGGATCTGCATAGCCGCGCGTGTAAGACTGCGAGCGTATGCACGGTGAGTTTCGACCAATCGTGCGCGGGCTACGTGAGGAAATGACTGCGAAAATCATTGCATTGGTGAATTTTATTATTAAAAAATAAAAACCTTCGACCGCGACACGCTGGTCGAGTGAATTTAAAATATCGAGTGGGTAATCGATTTTTTTTAAAAAAAAGGGGAAAGAAAAAGTCGATCATCGATTCATTGGTCATGTCATCTCTATCTGTGTGTGTTCTGTCTTGATGAGAGAAAGAGAGAGAGAGAGAGAGAGAGAGAGAGAGAGAAAGAAAGAGAAAGGAGTATATGTTGTCTAGCTGAGAGTTGTATGGGGTCGTGTGTTTTTTGTTAATTCGTTTATTATTGTTACTATGAGGTAGCATGTGTGACAATAGATAAATATCGAGGAATTGAGACGAACGCGACATGACGTCCAAAACTGTATGCATCACCCAAGAAGGACCCGCGAACGCGTTAGCCCTTAATAAAGATAATAGCCAGGTTGTGATAGCCGGTCGTAATGGTTCGTTATTTTTTATAATATTATGTTATTTTGGGATAAAAGGGAATAGAGAGATTATTGCATCATAATTTTAATGACAGTCGTACAGTAGTTTGTATTGTTGAAAGAAACAAGTCACAACACCTATGATTATAGTGGTGTATGTGCAACTATTGTGATATAAAATCATACAACTGCTGTTTTACATTGTATTATACTTAAGGACTATATATCTTACTGATCTTGCATTGCAGTTTTCAAAATACTCACATTGTTGGAGGATAGATTTGAGGAAACTTGTAATCTTCGAGTTGGCAAGAATTTGAATCTTAATTTCTCTTGCAATGATGTTGCCTGGAACCTCATTGATGGTAATCTAATGATTTGCTTTGATTATAATAATTATTAGTGTATCGCAAGTATATATAATACAGTACAAGTATATATGGTATCTTAATATAAGATAAAGAAGATGATATATGATTAAATAAATCTAACTTTATATGATCAGATCTTTAAATAGATTTATTTGAGAGGTCAGCTATAGATAATTATGTTCAAATTTCATTGGATTAATATTAATTTGTTTACTTGGTATCATTTTACGTTATAATGTTATACAAATTTGTAGATCATGTATTGGCAACTGCAGCTACGAATGGTGCAGTGGTTGTGTGGAACCTAAATAGACCATCCAGATCAAAACAAGAGCATGTATTTATGGATCATAAACGAACTGTGAATAAAGTGAGTTTTCATACGACGGAACCTATGTGGCTGATATCTGGTTCTCAGGATGGCACTATGAAATGTTTTGACTTACGAACAAAAGAAGCTGTTAAAACATTTCTTAGGTAAGAATATAGAGCTATGTGGACTTAGTTATTACGATGTACATGGTCCATTTTATTATTAGTAGTACTTATTCGAAGGATGCTATTGAATATTGAAAATCAAAATTTAATAAGAGAGAGGATCGACTGAGGAGAATTTGACAAAATATATAATCCTGAAGCAATCTCCACTAATAAGAAGTCTAATAATTAATAGCTTTTCTTTACTTGGTGAACATTTTATTACATACTTTTAACATTATTACATACTTTTGTACTTTTGTTTCTAGTAATACAGAATCCGTGAGGGACGTTCAGTTTTGTCCACACCAATTGCATATGTTTGCAGCAGTTTCTGAGAATGGTCACGTGCAGCAATGGGACATGAGAAGGCCTGATCGTTATTTTCAGCATTTTACCGCACACAGCGGCCCGATATTTGCTTGCGACTGGCATCCCGAATCTATATGGCTCGCTACAGCATCTAGGGATAAAACAATCAAAGTACTTTTGTCTTTGTATCTTCTGTGTGGATCCTTTCAAAATCTTACCACAGTCACATACATGCATCTTTGAAATTTTAGGTTTGGGATTTATCGGCTAAACCAAGTTGCGATTATACTATACACACGATTGCATCGGTAGGACGCATAAAATGGAGGCCGCAAAAGAAATATCATATAGCTAGTTGCGCTCTAGTAGTCGATTGTAGCATAAACGTTTGGGACATACGGAGACCGTACATCCCATTCGCGAGTTTCAACGAACACAAGGATATCCCCACGGGGGTAGCATGGAGAGGCAGCTCGCAGTCGTTTTTGTCTACGAGCAGAGTAATACCGTTGATCGCTTTTCCTTTCTGTCACGATCAATGTACGGTGAAATTGTTTCACCTTCGTGTCGTTGCTGTTCGCAGGATTGCACGTTATATCACCACGTATTCGAGGACGCCACAAAGCCGGCCAGTAAAGCGAACCCACAAGGTATTGCGTTGAATCCAAACGGTGACATTGCGTACGCTTGCAAAATGAACGTGAACGTGACAACTCCTGCAAAACAGTTAAGTAATATAATGAGGTGAATATCGGTATCGTATAAAAAGGTCGGAATACGATGGCGATTGTGCGAACTTGAGAAAATGTTCTTGAAATTGTTGTATCTCGAACATCTTACAGGAAAGCACCTACGACGAACGATACCTTTTGCATGGCTTCGAGCATAATGCATAGATTCAGTGTAAATTCGACGAACAAACCAATGTGGTTCAAGACTTTCGCCGAAGGCTATCTACTTTCCGGGAGGTTGGACGAAATCTGTGATCACAACGCGATTGTCGCAAGCAACAGTGGTAGACACGATGTAAGATATTTGTGTTTCTTCAGATATTTTACAAGAAGAAGATATACCGATGACTTTGCATCTGTCAATTATAGCTTAGTAGAGTGTGGAATATCATAAAGACTTTGTACGCGAACCCTTTGGGCTCCATATTAAAAACGCCACCGGCGGTGCCGAAGGAAGATATTGTCAATACCTCGAATTTGGTACAAATCACGAAAGGTTCTGGCATGGAACAGTCAAATGCAGGTAAAAGCAATATCATCAACAACATGTTACAATCGCTTCATCCAACCATATAAATCGTTAATTTCATCAGGCTATGAAAGTGATGTGAAGTCTCTTCAAGGGGAAAACCAAACCGGTGCTACCAGTGGCGGTGACGACGAGACTGAGACGGACGAAACGCCGGATAATCAAAATTTCGCAGACCCTGTCCTGCCAAAGTACTGTCAAAACAAACTTGTTCCTAAGAATTCCGTTATTTGATATCACAGTATTGTATTAAGTAGTTCACTGTAGTACACAATTACGCATAGTTGTGCACGCGACATTAATTCGAGTAAAAAAATAATTCGTTTAGGCGTGCACGGTAAAGACAATCGGTACAGTTACAGGAGACCACTTGCCAGTCATCACACGGGATTGTCGAAGGGCGACTTCATCTTTGGAGAGAGCGAACTTGAGCCCATGACCTTGGAATACAACAATGGTTTTATGCGGGACATGATAGACAACGACGATGATTGGGCGTTGTCTAAGGAAGCTTTCCCTTTACGGCACGAAATAAAGGACCCGTCCCCGCCACCGGAACAGTTTCCCAATCACCTTCCTGACCTCAACGAAGACTCAGCTTCCGTTGTGGTCGAGGATCAACCGTGTCAGCTAGTAGTGTCGGCTATACCTAAACCGTTGTCTTGGGATCCCACGCGTTTAATTGTGGAAGCGTTAAATCATCACGCGGATATCAGGGACGTGCAAACATCGGCATCGATCCTCATTGCTTTAGGAGAAAAGAGAAAAGACTTGAACATTGAAATAGCCACGCAGGAACATTGGTTGATGGAATACTTGGACATGCTCTGCAAGTTCAAACTCTGGCATGTAGCTACCCAGGTTCGTTCACGATTAATATGTAGTTTATTAATTATTATGTTTGAATAGTTACATATTTCTCTCTCTCTCTCTCCTTTTTATTATATTTCGCATTGTTATGCGAAACTATCGAAAAAATTCTGTTTTTCTTTTCTCGTAATATGAGATGTTTAAATAAAGTTCAAACGGATCGTTATCCTAAGATTAGAGTAGATTGATAAAGGACTTTGTTCGCAGATAATACAATTAGCATGGATTCCTTCCATATCACAGCTGAATCAACAATCAACTCTAATACACACGTGTTGTTTAGCATGTACAAAGCCCTTGCAACGATCCGCGTGGTTGTGTGACCGTTGTCATACGTCTGAACACGCTCTCTGTTCCGTATGTCATCAGGTATGGTATTTTGGTAAACATTAAAAATTTACTTTTTCAAGACTCATGCTTATACGTAAATCTCTTTAATGTACACTTGTCGATCAAGCTAAGATCATTGTGTGTTCTGTATATAGGTGGTACGTGGTATATACGTATGGTGCCAAGGATGCACACACGGAGGTCATATAAATCACATGAACGAATGGTTTAACTGCAATCGGCAGTGTCCAACAGGTTGTGGGCACACATGTGAATATACATGAGGAGGATGTCCTGTGATATCCGCTACAACTAGACGACTGTAAATAAAAATGCTGTAATATGGCCCAGGAGAGAAATGATAGAAGCACAATACAAGTTGCTCATCAGACTGATATAAATAATGAGATACGGCTTAGGGAATGTGTAAAAAACGAATTGAATTTATAAGTGATATTTTAATTTAATGTATTTTAATGATTTCTATATCATTGATTGATTTTTAATTACATAGAAAATTAAACTTACAAGAGTGGATTTTCTGATACGATTATATTTCCCATAGCCTCCAAACATCTCAAGAATCGATGACTTGGTTAAGAAAAAAAAGAAACATTCTCTTCTTTTGGAAAGACCAAAAAAATGTTTCCGCCCGGGATCGAACCGGGGACCTTCCGCGTGTTAGGCGGATGTGATAACCACTACACCACGGAAACTGTGATGGAAAGGTAGCTTTATTTTTGGTATATACGGTACATACATACATAAAATTTAACATACATTTATTATTATAAAAGTTTATTACGATATACATCTTTTACCATAGAAATATTTTAAATAAGTTTATAAATTTTTAAGTTTCCCCAGAATCCTGAGAAATGTTATTCAAAATGTTTCCCTTATAATATTTATTCATGAATATTTCATTAGATGTAATTTTCTACCAAAAAAAAAAAAGTTGATATAGCATAGACCCAAGTAATAATTATACAAAATATATCAAATCAATTTTATATAAATGAACTTATATAATATTATTTTAAGTATAGCTTGGTTCCTTTATATACTAAAATGTTGACTAATTTAAATTTTTGTCAGTCTTAATCTTTCTTTGTTATTAAACCTTCTGAATTTCTATATTAGTTTACTTAAATAATATATATAGGATATAGGATTCAAGAATAAAGATCATACTTAAGCTGTATACAATTTAAATTCATTTATTAAAAATGTCTTAATTTTTAGAGACAAAATTTAATGATGAGCAGCTTTCCTCATTTGTACCAGGATGTTTCCAAGTTCTTCTCGCTTTCTCTTAGCACGGATATGTGTGCCCAACTAGAAAATATTAATAGTTTCATACATTATACGGTAAAAGTATGTAAAAGACAGAGATAATTTCATTAATAATTTGCTGATTTTGCAAAGAAATGAGTGATGTTGATCTCTAACACTTACCCTCCTCTTCAAGAATTTCAAAGCTCGCTTGTCCTTGGATACTTTTAACAACTCCATTGCACGCTTCTCGTAAGGAGCATGCCCTGTAACTTCACGGATCAAATCTCTCACAAACTTGCTGTGTTTGGTTTGTTTCTACAGTGAGAAATTTTTAAGATGGATTAACATACACGAGAGAAAGGAAAATATAAGGATATTCTACAAATAAATTATCATAAATATGACAAACTGATGGAAAAGATATTGATGTACAGTATATAATAATGAACAAGGGACCTACAATATATACTTACTCCCTTTAGCCTAGATGGTCGGAGACATACGGTCTTCTCCTTTTCAGATTTGCTTTTTGCCACACGAATTTTCGTCGTTTTGTGGCCCTTGTTGAGGCCAACGGCCAGCTCGTATTTTGGTGCCATCCTATAAAATAATCATCCAACTTTTAGGTTATATTACTTACAGACTAATCAAATCAAAAAACAAAATAATTTTGTATAATATAGTAAATCATAAATACAATTAAGTTGCTACAATAATTATATCATTAAGATTTCTTTAACTTCAAATAGATTGCCATAAAATTATAAGATTTGGAATTACACAAACCTCGTGATGCTAACACACAGATCAAAAGAATTGTCTTTAGTTGTTGGGGAATCGCTTTTAGTGTAATCGACTTTACAAAGTGGGAATGGCCGCGTTCAGCAGACTCAACAGTTGGACAACATTACTAGATTTACCACTGAATCTCGCTCCTGATTGGTAAATATTTCTGGGTCTATGAAGAATCTAAAAGAATGCTCCAATCACAGACAATAATCACTAAGCGCTCTCTGATCACTTGTTCTACTGAACGCGGCCAATGTCACTTCGATTATTTTAACATCGATTAGTTCCATCTTGCAGAATCGATTATAATATGATATGGATTATATCGAATAACGATTGTATAATATTGGGTTAAGTAAAAAATTTTGAGCGTTTTCTGCTAGATGGCTTTAGTGAGGTCATATCTCACGATGTATACGTCGCATCTGGTCATTCTACACTTGCGACTTAAAGGTGACATAACGCTTTAAAAAAAGTTCTTTGACAGTTTTGTGTTTGGTGAAGCCAGTTGTATGTTAGAGCATACCAAAATGGAGGTAAAAAAGAGAAAATTCGATACATTCTTCGGTACCACTACGACCAAAGGGAAAAAGCGGAGCAGGCGGCCAAAAAAATTTGTGCTGTTTATGGACCCAATACAGTATCGAATGCAACAGCAAAGCGGTGGTTCCAATGATTCCGTTCTGGTAATATGGACGTTGAAGATGAGACACGCTCTGGTAGGCCAATCGTCGAAAATGTCGATAAAATCATGGAAAGCGTCGAGTCGGACCGGCATGCGAGCACTTATTCCATTGCCCAGGAACTGAAGATTAGCCAGAAAACCGTTTGGAACCATTTGCATAAGACTGGTCTCAAGAAGAAGCTCATATGGGTGCCACACGAATTGACGCAAAAGAACCTTTTGGACCGAATTCATGCCTGCGATTCTTTGCTGAAGCGTAACGAAATCGACCCATTTTTTAAGCGGATGGTGACTGGCGATGAAAAATGGGTCACATACGAGAACAACAGGTGAAAAGGATCGTGGTCCAAGCGCGGTGAGCCGGTCCAAACGATCGCCAAGCCCGGATTAACGGCCAAGAAGGTTTTACTGTGTGTTTGGTGGGATTGGAAGGGAATCATCCACTATGAGCTGCTCCCATCGGGCCAATCACTCAATTCGAACCTACACTGTCAACAACTGACCAGATTGAAGCAGGCGATCGACGAGAAACGGCCAGAATTAGTCAATAGGAAGAGTGTTGTGTGTCCATCAAGGCAATGCCAGGCCGCACACATCTTTGACGACGCGCCAGAAGCTCCGAGAGCTTGGATGGGAGGTTATATCGCACCCGCCGTATAGCCCAGACCTGGCTCCAAGCGATTATCACCTTTTCAAGCATTTGCAAAATTCTCTTGATGGTACAAAACTGGCCTCAAGAGAGGCTTGTGAAAATGAGCTGGTCAAATTTTTTACCAATAGGGACGAGGACTTCTTCAATCGCGGAATTATGAAATTGCCTTCAAAATGGACAAAAGTTATCGAACAAAACGGCGCATATTTGATCTAAATCCGATAATCCTAACTTTGTTAATTTCATCGTCGAAATAAAGAGAAAAAAACGCTCAGAACTTTTTATTTCACCCAATATTTTTAACCTTGATTATTTTCCGAACGTAGTTTTTTTGCGATATTTCTAGAATTAGTACTAATATCCGTATTCATAGTCTTTTGAGAAATAAGGACTCCTTATTCCTCATTTTACATTTCATAAACCTTCCTTGACCAAACAAGGAGCCTTAAGCCCGTGTCACACTACGAATTGAAGATCAAGGATTGCGGATTGAAGATTAGATTTCGACAAATCGACGACTTCGGTTTTGATTTGCTTATTCCGATTGGTCAAATTTCAATCTTCAATCCGCAATCCTTGATCTTCAATCCGTAATGTGACGCAGGCTTTACTGCTCTCTTACCTCAAGAAAAATCACGAGCTTCCTTGAGGAGGAAATGTTACCTGAAATCTGTTCGTTTTCGTTGCACTTCTGAACTAATGCATAAAAGTGTAGTAAGTTTTTGCAACACTTAAGCCAACGGCACACGGTGCTTGTTTTCGTGCTGGATTGCTTGCTGGATGAAAATACTGCGTTCTGATTGGTACTTTTCCGAAGATGGATAGAAATGCACCAATCAGAACACAGTATTTTCATCCAGCAAGCAATCCAGCACGAAAACAAGCACCGTGTGCCATTGGCTTTACTTTTGTTCCATTACGTGTGATGTTGCGCTTTCAAACTGATAGCATATAAAGGAAAAAAAGGATAGCGAATTTTTAAATGATTCTGAAGAAGGATTTTTTCTTTTTCGATGTAACCCCAATGTAACCCTCAATGTAACACCAATGTAACTCCAATGAAGTGTGCTACTAGGGTTATGATTGATTGTTCTCCTTGCTAAAATGGTTTGAGCCTTAACTAAAGAAGGTTTGAATCTCGGCTAAATGCACCTGTATCTTTTTTGACCTGTTAAAATCAATAGACCCGTTATTTTTATTGATTTCAAAGTCGCCGCTATGAGCCGCCACTTTCCTCGAAGAAGATTTGTGATATCGTGATATGACTCAACAACGGGTTAGGACCTGTTCTTTTTAAATGGTATTATTTAATAATGAGTCAGGCATTCTTTTATATTATATTCTAAAAGGTATGCAAAATTCAATCGGCTGTAACTTCGGTAAAAATGACGGCATTGAAATCGTTCAGAAAGCATTTTACAGCCCGAAGTTTCTAATTTTAAATCATATTAATATCATAAGTTCACTGGTATGCTTGACTATAATATATCTAATTAAACGAAGAGTGACAGCTGTTAAATTTCCACCTTTTAGTCGAGTTTGAACATTGACAATTCACTGTTATCAAAAATCTAGTAAACGCATCTCAAAGAGAGAAATTTAAGTTTTCTGTTTATTTATTATACATTTTCGTACATTAACTCGTTCATTCTCTATAAACGATCAAAATCTTAATGATGCGCTCTTCGCTTTCACGTTAAATAACTTGGTGAAAAAAAAATCACATCGTACAAATATATGCAAATTGAAGGATGAGATTCGCTCTTTTAACTGACGCAAAGCTTGTTTATGCGTAATCACGTAGCACAATCTGGCAAATAAAGACTATGTAAGGAATTTTTATGCTCAACGAATATCGATTCATGTAGCATTGAAAAAAATAAATGGGCTTTATACACGAAAATAATTCAGGGAGAAACTCCAAACTCCAAAATTCTTCGTAAATCTCATTACAATTATCTTAGGAAAGTTGCGTTGATTACTACGCGTTCGGTTTTATTTTTTTTGTTTGTATCCTTAAACTTGTGTCACCTTTGCGCGCATTACTTCGGCTTCGGCGCAATCCCAGTACAAAGGAAAAAAATAAATTTATGTACAGTGAGACAGCATGTCACTTTCGCCATTTTCCCGTTGTATATTTCGCTTCGATCAAGAAAATCAACCATGAAGAAGGACCTCGAGGACTGAGTTGATTCATCGACGGAAGAAGCATGTCGAGGGACATTTATTAACCTCCCGCGAGAGGGGAAAACAGAGAATAAAGTTGTTATTCTTATCTTAAACGTCGCTCTCCTCTTTCACATCGCGTACTCCCTGCATATGCGGAGAAAAAAACGTTCGAGGTTTTTAACTCGTATTGTGTCGGGGACATTATTCGCGGATGACTTCATCTCGGTACTAGCCGATTTGTCGTTTGTCATCAATATGTCATTCGCTCGCAAATGAGACTCGTATATTATTTTCACTTGTATATTTAGAGAGAGAGGAAAAGAGCGGAAGGGAGAGAGAGAGAGAGAGAGAGAGAGAGAGAGACGACGATCGTTTCGTTTCTCGCCGTTATCACTGATCGGATACCCCCGATTTGAGAATTGTATTTTTTAGAACTCAACGTCCACGCGGCCGGAATGCGCGCGGTTGCATAATGCACACGGTAACCTTCGAACTCGAACAGGGTAAAGCAACGTTCCGCTCAATAAAATTTTATTGCTGTCGTGGTGAGATAACCCCGCAACGACATTAGATTGGAGAGAGACCCCTTCTTATTCATAAAATCGCGTAACGCTCGCGACTCGACTCGTTAAATAGTGACAATATATTTTACGGCTGCGCGGTTTTAATTTTATAAAGCGTCGTCCGTTACGTGCAGCAGTCACCATTGCGCAGACCACGAGTTCCGGAAATGTGCGGGGAACAAGCGCACGATGTTGTTTCTGGCGAGATTTTTATTGCTGAAAACATTCATCGTCGAAAATACTAATCGTCGACTACTACAAGCCGCTGAGAAATCCTCTCCGTAGATGAAGCTTCGCACGCGCGTGTGTGCGTGTACGTCTGTGTGGAGTAAGATATTATGTATTATTTATTCGTTAGCTGAAATTGACATGGACATTACATCGCAATTCTTACTCGATGCGCAATTACTGAGATGTAGATTTAAAGTGCGAAGACTCGCGGGATAAATTTTGTTCTTTTCCATACTTTCGTCGGGGCGAGGAAGTTCCCGTGAAGTGTGCGGAAAGTTATAGCAGATTGTCTAACACTACAATTTCACTATAGTTCCACTATAGTTCCACATTCTCTCGAGGTCGCAATTCGCTTAAACGCTAAAGTAGGAATGAAGAAATGAACACGCCGCTTCTATTGGAAACTGATAGATCATATATTTTACTTCGCTATAAATCGTGAATAGATCTTCACCATTGGATAATTTCTTGACAAACGATCAAGAGACAAGAGTGAGAGTTTTTGACGTGTCGATAAAACGGCGCCGCCCGTGTGTGATCGATCAAGATTGTAGTTTGTAGCGGCGCGCGCACGGCGAAACACGTCATAAATTTTTCATACATAATTTCTCACATCAGGGCGTGCACGCAGCAGCAGCAGCAGCAGCAGCAGCAATGTTCTCCTTATCGATTCTATCGTTCTGCGCTCGATATAAATACGATATGTTACTCCACAGTTAAAATGCGAATACAGACTATTTCACAGACAGTTAGAGCACGAAATTCTCGCGAGACACATGCATATAAAGAGTTACGCGCGGCGGTCACCGATTAGCGCAGACCTCGTTACGAAACGTTGGAATTTCATAAGAATGAAACGTACGCGAGCGAGCGCGTACGTTCCGCGAGAGCCGAGTTCGATCCGAGGGAGATTTAAAAAGGATACTCGAGATTCTACTCATAATACTCTATAGGAACTAATAAAACCTTGATACAAAACAGGTTCGGTAGAGCGAAGACTTCGGTTACGTCACGTTATGTTAATAAACATCGACTTACGGCCCGGCTTGTTTCGCGAGAGCCACAACGTAGCCTACGTGATTGTAATAAATTAACAGATAGTAGTAGGGTGTGCGCTATAGTTACATAATGATTATGGCGTTTCGTTTACGGGGAGACGCGCTCACCTGGTCGAGGCAAACGGGCTAAAGTCGTCCGCGCCGTCGTCGTCGTCGCATTCGCGACGACGAAGAAGAACGCAACAACGCAACAACGCGCGATAGTTCGCGGCAGTCTGACGGCAAACGTTCTTCGTTTCCCGTTTCCTTCACCGACCAGGTGTCTGAATATAGCAAAAATGTCCTAGTAATATAAAATACGATCGCTACTTAATAAGGAATATAATGACAAGTAAATATAGTTAGTATCACAGTCAATGCGAGACCCGCGCGGGTCTGAATTCGGTGATGCCTTGCGTCGTCCGGGTCGTACGAGCCTGAGAAAAAGAGAGGGAACGAAAAAGATAGATCGAAAGAAAGGGAGAGAGAGGAAGAGAAAGAAAAAGAGATAGATAGATAGATAGATAGATAGATAGATAGATAGATAGAGAGAGAGAGATAGATAGATAGATAGATAGATAGATAGATAGATAGATAGATAGATAGATAGAGAGAGAGAGAGAGAGAGAGAGAGAGAGAGAGAGAGAGAGAGAGAGAGAGAGAGAGAGAGAGAGAGAGAGAGAGAGAGAGGAGAGATCGACAATCTCCGGTTTCCTCGCATCGACTACAAGAATTGTCCGGGCTGAGGAGAGAATCGAAAGTCTGAAAAGATCGTACACGGAGGTGCGCGCGGGAATCCTGAAAAGACGCTCGTCTCGGGTGATTATTATTCTCTCTTATATATTCTTTCAATTATTTATATGAATAATTATATATAATATATAAACAACGGTACTGCTACTGAGATACCGTTATCGATATATTGCCGTCATCGTTATCTGCGGTTGCGTCGCTTGTTCCGACGGATCAGACGAATCTCAAGGAAACTCGAGTATTCCCGTCGAAGTATCGGAACGAGGCTCGTCGCACCGGCGCGCGCGATCGCGAGAATGCGTGCGGCAGCACCGAACCACAATTCGGACGATTCTTTGGTGAGTCCTCGGCGATGGTAGACTGTTTCGTTTTCCTCCTCCCTTCTCCCTGCTCTCGGCTTCGGAGTGCTGCCCTTCAGCACTGCCCTTAGGAGCAGGCGCACTCCTCCACCGTGATATTGTGCCAGTAAGACACCTGCAGCTGCGTGGGTTGCTTCTCATCGAAATAGACGACCATCAGCTGGTTGAGCTTGCTGGGCGCGCAGCACGGCTTCGGCACCCTCTTCCGGTCCTCCTTCCACAGTAGGCTCTGCAGCAGCGCGTGATGATGCGCCGGGTTGTACAGAGGCGGGCAACGACCCTTGCAGTAGCCGGCGTCGAAGCTCCTCGGGTATACGATGAAGTCGAAGCCGTCCAGGTCCTTGAATTTCACCGTCATCTCGTGTCTGCAGCATCTCTTGTTGTTGTAGCCCTTGCAGTCGCTGCGTCGCTCGTGCCGTTGCAGCACCTCCTCGGGTGTGTGCCGCTTCTGCCTGCGAGCGCCGCCGTTGTCGTTCGTCTCCGACGTGGTGAAGACGTTCAGCCTCGCGTGGAAGATCTCACGACGCGTCGGCAGGTCATCGTGAAGAAACTCCAGTTCGAGACCGCGGTTCTCCTCGGGGTCTCTCTCGAGCCAGATCGCGGCGATCTCAGTGGAGTCCAACTCGAGCCAACGGGAGTCCTTGGACGAGTCCGTCTGTGGAATCCGACTTCGCAGGAGAAGACGCCGAGACACCGGCGTCCGGAGGTATACCAGGACCTCCAGCTTGCGCGGATATCGGTGGTCGCCTTGCAGGAGGAATCGCAGGGTCGCGTGATCGACCGTGACGTCCTCGTCTCTCTCTTCATCCGGAACTGCGACGGGGAAGTACAAGGAGTGACGGTGATTCCCTCTCCAGTCATCCTCGTCGTCGTCAAGGTTGACGGTAAGACCCGGCCTATTCCCAGGATGCTCTGTAACGAGAAACGCACGCCCGTTAATGCAGTCGCGAGTTACGCAAATAAACTTGCGAATGGAAGTCGGAAAATTCGCGTCATCGCGATTCCTCCTAAGCGGATGACGTTGACGAATTTCTCGGCGATTATTTGACAAACCTAATTGGATTATCAATACGCCTTGTTGAGAACTCCGCGTTGTCGCGTTGCGGCGATGCGTTGCATTGTGCAAATAAACAGTTACGCGACGAGGTAAGAAACTTTTCCGCGTGGGGGATACCGTCAGGACTCGGACGCACGATATGTGAGAAGATGATGTTTGTGTGTAGTAGAAATAAATTGCAAGGTTGATTAGATGCAATGACGTGAGATGGAAAATTTGATCAGCCTCCGATGGAAAATATCTCAAACGAATATAAGGCGCAATGAGTTAGAGCTCTCTCTCTCTCTCTCTCTCTCTCTCTCTCTCTCTCTCTCTCTCTCTCTCTCTCTCTCTCTCATTCTCTCGTACTCTCTTATAGCATTAATTGCCACAAAGCAGAAACTCGAGATTATGTAGGTTGCTCCTGAATTCTTGCAACAATGACACGAAAGTCTCGCGCGCAGAGGTGACTCAGTGTCTCTTTGTCACAATTGTCAACGCTCGCGCTCCTACCTTGAGATTTACTGATTACATTCACATACACACACAGTTGACTTATTGTTCATCGCCCGCGACACCGCAACGGGAGAACTTCCTTGACCCTTACAACAAAACCGAGCGAGCCGAAATAAAGATACGTTCCAAATCGCAAACAAGCGAAACCGAGAGAGAGAGAGAGAAAGAGAGTGGCGAATAGCCGGGGAAAATACATTTCCGTCCGAGAATAGCCGCGCGATATTCATCAAGAGATCGAACGCTTCAATGCTGACGCAAACGTGTCGGCGCTTTATAAACATTGTTCGGATTCCCGCTCGACGAGAAACAAATCGCAGAGCCGCGGGTAATTCATCTCGATCATTCAACGGTTACGCGTCTTTCGAACAACATAAAATCGCGATAACAAAATATACAATATGAAAACTCCACAATCGTGCGGCAGAGAAAGAGAGAGAGAGAGAGAGAGAGAGAGGGGGCTGCCGATTCAATTAAGTAACATTTCCGTCCTTCCGAGACACAAACAACGATTCTATTATTTACCCGATCGCTTCGCAATTACTCCCCCATCACGATGACGTAAATAGAAAACCGTCTTCAAACGATCCCCCCTCTAGAATGCGCGGTAACATCGGCCGATCGTGAGGCATGACAGAGACAGAGACAACAATCTCTCGCGATTGAGACAATTAGCGAAAATGGCGAAAATGAATCACGATGAAGCAACGTCGCACGAGCGTCACCGTCGTCAAATTCATTAATGAGCAGATAACAAACGGAAAACTTGTCGTCGAGGGCGGAAGGGGGCAAGGGGGAGGGGGGGTGGTGGTGGGCGGGCAAGGTTTTTTACGCGAAGCCGCGTTACATAATTGACAGGAACTGCTGAATTCCCGGCGAGCGCGCGTGTGTACACGCTATAATTGTCTCACGCGTATTTGCGCGGATACACCGCGTCCTTGTTGCATTCTGCTGAAACGAGCGTAGCTCCGGATCCGCTCGCTACTGTCAGCGTATTATTGGCGAGGATGGTGAAGAGAGACTCTCGCATATCGTGCCGGATGGATACTTCGTCGCGCATAAACAAACACAGGCCTCTCTGAGTCACGGGACGGTATTCGGCGCTTTCTCTCTCTCTCTCTCTCTCTCTCTCTCCCCCTCCTCTCCTCCCTCTCTCTCTCCCGGCCGACAAAATCGGTGCGGGCGTTATTGCCGAGCGCGGAGATGCTTCGGAGATGAAGAATGCCCCTAAATTTAACCCCTTCGACGTTCGCGTGCCGCGCGACGCAACGTCCAATCGTGGTCGCGAAGCATTCCGCGTGTAAAATCTCCTCTCGATAAGTCGCGCGGCGGATTCACTCGCAGCGCTCGAACGCGCGTCGTTTCCGCCGGCCTCGTCGAGAATCACAAGATCCAGAGTAGAAAAATGAATAGGGCTCTGGTAAGGACTTGATTATTTTCCTTCATTAATCGGGCTCCAGTAAGGATAGAAAGACTAGGTCTCTACAAGATGTGTAGCAAATAATTTAAAAGGTCCTTATCAGGCAATATCAATAGAGCCTTATAAGGAAATATTTTTATTATTGCTTGAGTAAAAACATTCGTTCTTTTCATTCCAAGAAATTCAGACTGCAATTTCTTTATTTCTTTATAACCTTGTTAATATATAATAAGAATTTTTTATTATAAAAATATATCATACTTGCTATGAAATATAGCATCCTTTACATATAAAAATCTTGCTGCTACTTTTATTAAAGTTTGCTGCATCTCGAAACGAAGGCAATACTAGAAAAATCCTTGGAGGAGACTAATGAATATGGCAACTAATAAAACTGATAAAATTTGTTTTTAATTACGGTGTAATTAAAAAATATTTAAAAGAACCAGATAGAGCGTATCTACTAAAACAATACTAAACTATGACAATCTTATTACACGCTTCAGATCTTAATAATTTTCTATAATAATAAAACTTGATTTTGTATATCCAAAGCATCCTTAAAAGATCCTTTTGAGGCCCACATCAGTTTTCCATGTTAAAACGTTATTTCGTAAAATCTAAAGCGTCCCTGAAAACTTCTTTTCTAAGGCTCTTCCCAATTTTCCTTATCAAAGCCTTACTTCGTAAAATCTAAGGTATCTTAAATCCTAAAAGATTTCGGGGCCTGATGTGGTAATAATGAGGCATCCCTTTTAAGGATGAGAGATCCTATCTTCGCAGTCTTATCGGGGCCTTATACTTCATATGAAGGCTCTAACAATTTTTGCTCGGGATCGCCTTGAATGGAGGAGACACGCGCCGACTCTCGAGAGCAAATTCGGTGTGTGATGCGATTCCCCCGTACGCGGGTTTCGTTATTTCGACTTCGCGAGGGACCGTCGCGGTTGCCGCGAACTTCAGGATTTTAATTCCCCGGGACGACGCATGTCCACCTTAAGCCCGCGCTCTGAATGGTGCTCGGGGGTTTTGTCCCGAGAACAATGTCCTGAAATTTTTAAAGGGGGATGATTTCCTGAAAAGTCGCAACACATCCGCCGTAAAAATAGAAAAAAAGAAGAAACGATCACAATGCACCTGTGTATACTGGCTTCGGGCTAATAGTTTCTCCTCGGAACAAGTGTATACTTCGGGAGAATTGTATCTCGAGACATTGTCTCGGTGCGCGGATTTCGCTGTACCGCGACTTTTTGCGGGAGATATCACCGCAGTTCCCGAGTTCCGGGATTTTGATGTTTCGCGACAATGTAGCGTCTGCCCCGTGAACCCGTGAATTCCATAACGACCGGTTCCCCCCCCCTCTCTCTCTCTCTCTCTTTTTTTCGTCATGCGGGACGCCGCCCGTGCTTTGCCTAAAATGAATCATATCCGCGTGAAATAAATCGCCGGTGGGGAATTGGTCGCGCGCCAATCTCGTAAATACCTCCGAACGGCTGTACTAATAATGAGATTATTCCGGAGGCGGGATAAAATTTGTAAATCGCTCGTTCCGCCGGCTGTAAAAGTCACGCGCCCGGCGACGAGGAGGGTGCCGCGACTCGAATTCGGGAAGCGAGATAAATCCTCCTCGAGAGCGGGATAACTAACTCACACACGCTCCGATTCGACCCGGGCCGTTCTGAAATTCTCGCCTCTCCCGGCTCCTTCTTTTCACTCGGCGGCTGTGATTAAGTCTTATTTACGAGGGCCGACAGAGCGAGGCTTCTTAGGAAAACTCACGTATAGCCATTAATTATCCACGACGCGGCGCGACACACGACGACGCCTTCGTATACACACACACACACACACATACACACCGTCTTCTGATGTCCCTTCTGTCACGGGCCCGCGCTTAACGTCGTCGTTGGCACCGTTATTACGAGGATTTCAGTAAAAACTCGTCGGTAAATGACGGTAAACCGTGTGTATATTGTGAGAGCGAGGAAACACGAGTAATGTACTTAGGCCCGCGATAGGGCTCTCCTGTTCCGTACAATAATGCGCGGGCGCATTATCTGCTGAATTATCAGGCGAATTTACGAGCCGCTCTTTAGACGATTAGGAGAAATTATCTCGACGAAGTCTCTCTGCCGAGTCTCGAGTGGGCGAAGAAAAATGAAAACAAAGGATTTTCGGGCGTACGCTCGATCTCGCTTTATCCCGAGGAGCACAAGAGTGACGCGACGACCCGTGTTGCTGAGCTTGACAATTCTCTCTTTCTCTCCCCCCCCCTCTCTCCCTCTCCCTCTCTTTCACGTGGACTCTTTAAATAAGCCACGAAAATAAACGACCGGCACGCCGTGCGGCATTCTGAAAAACAGTGTTTTATCGGGATCCGCATTCCGCGATATGTCGTAAACAAACGATTCAGATCGGCGACACTTGCCGAATTCCGTGCGCCTCCTGAATTCTTCTCTCTCGCCGGCGCGCCGAGGGTCCCGCTCGAACAAGTCGCCGATCATTCGAACAGCGTTTCTTTCTTTCTTTTCTTTTCTCTTTGGACGAATTTCTTTTTTTTCTTTTTTTCTTTTGACGAGAGAAGCCAGCTACTAACTAACTGCAGCCGAGACCCCTATAACAGTATGATAATTTCTATACCAATTTAATTATACGACACCGTATTTTTATTATTAGGGGTGCCGGAAAGTGTCTTTTCGTATTTTAAAGCCTTCAATTTTCGTGGTTATAGTACGGGTTCCTAATTTTAATCCAGAATTAATTTAAATCCCAGCGGTTAACAGTTAACCGCATTTCTTTATTGTGCGTATCGACTTTCATTAAGATCGAACTTGCTCTGCTTTTTTTCATGCAAAGTTTTATAATAAAAACGAAAAAGACACTTCCCGGTACCCCTAATAATATTTCATGACAGTACCAGCGTCGTATCACAATAAAATGGCG